CGTGTATTACGATCATGCCATGAGTGTGGACAGTGACAAAAGTAAAAGTGCAACGGGTGGGAGACGGTTTTGAAAATAAAACTGTCCAATATTGATCCAGAAACACCAAAATATCTGATATGCCCTTATAAATCGGATGATGTAAAAGAAAACCCTATCATTAGTAAACACAAAGATATTCCAAGGAAAAATATCTCAAAGCGAAAGAAATAATTCAAGCCATGCAGTCAAGCATTTTCCATGTCCATGATCGCACGCGAAAATATCTACGGAACCTCATAAAAAGCCTCAGGATTTAAAGCTAGTCCACACAGGATAAATTCTATATATCCTTCATACGCATTGATTTTGATCTGAAGGGATTTTTTTAGAGCAGTGGAAGGACCTTTCACGCCAACAGAGTCGTTTCATGAGCAACTAATTTGGAATTTGGGTTTTGGTCCTCTACGAAGTGGGTCTTTCAGCTTACTCCTTTCGTGTTACATTTGAATATTTGGAAATAAAGATGGCAACTGAAATATTTTATATAAAAGGATCGTTCTATGTAGCTTTTTTCTTCTTGCTAGCGAGTTTACGATTGAGTCACTGAAAACTCTATCACTCACTTTTTTTTTTCTTGCTAGCGAGTTTGAGAAGGCAAAAGGTTTTGCTCCAAAATGGGTCCAGAGGAAGAAAACAACAGAATAGAATCATATGTAAAGCAATAGGCTCTATGTTGTCTGTGTGATCCGGTTGTACATAAATCTCAAGGAAATATCTAATCGCAGTTGGACCGGTCTATAACTATTTTTAAATTAGGGGTTAGAAAAGTCTGAAAACCCATCCTGTAAGACAAGAAAAGATCGACATGAAAAAGAGTAAAACACATTTGTTTGTCATGCGCGCCCTCAATTAATATGCGATTTAAATTATCTCTCTCGCTCCATATAAAATGAGTTTTGGTTCCACAATACTTCCAATATTCATCTCAGAACACTTCCTATGGGGTATATACATTTTTGATAACAAAACAAACTTGATCTTAATTCGTGAATTAAATATCCGAGAAAAAATTATCGCAATAAAAATATCTATCGCCGGAACTTTACAAGAAAGATCTAAGAATATTAGACATTATTGCACACAAGTTAGAATCTATCCACCATGTGCAAGAATTTTCTATTCCAATAAGCAGTGGGAAAGCACTTTTTTTGCTAGATGTGGGATGTGTAGCCGCTCGGCCTGAGCTTGAACGGGCAAGCCAAAGTTTCCCCTCCAAAAATAAATATATGCCACCCGAGAGCGACGCCACCGCACCACGCACGGAATCTCGCATAAGAAAAAGGCGTAGGGCATCCCCAACGCGGCCGCCTAATCGGGCCGTGCACGGATCTCAAGGCAATATCCCCGTCCACCTCGACCGGAAAGCGCATGGGAAATAAAGATCGTGCCATGCGGAAAGGACGGCCGCTATGGGAAAAGCATATCGAAAATATCACGGTGACCGGTCCACGTGGCCATGCCGATCTGCGATTTATTCCCTTTTCCGGCCATTAAATTATCACCGTCCCCACCTACCTCATCCCTTCCCACAAAAATATCTTCTTTTCCTGGCAAGCTAAGCTTCCCCCTCCCCTCCACCCACCCACTGTTGCCGGTCACCGAAGCCGAAGGAGTTAACCACTCCCTCCGTTCAAAATTACTTGTCGCGGAGATGAATGTATCTAGACGTATTTTAGTTCTAGATACATCCATTTCCGAGACAAGTAATTCCGAACGGAGGGAGTAGATGATACATATAAGGCGGGTACGATAGGAGGGTGGCGGAGTGGGAGACGGGGCTGCCGGGGTGTGACGAGTTGACCCCGCTGTCGCAGCCGCTGGTGCTGCCGGGCCTCGCCGTGGCGTTCCGCATCTCGCCGAAGCCGGGGCGCACGCTGCTCAACGTGCACCGTGCGTCCACCGCCTCCGTGTCCCGTCTCCGTGCCTCCGGCTCGTCCACCGGGTGCAAACGGTGGTGAAAATAAAACTCTTTGATGTTAATCTAGAGCACCAAAATATCCGACATTGCCTTATAAGTCCGATGATATAAATGAAAACCCTATCATTAGTAAACAAAAAATTATTCAAAGGAAAAAATATCTCAAACTGAAAGAGGTGAATCAAGCCATGCAGTCAAACATTTACCATGTCCATGGTCGCAAACGAAAATATCTTTTTTTTAAAGGAGGATAACCCCGGGCATCTGCATCACTCGATGCATGCAACCATATTATTAAAGAAAAATGTAACAACGTCTCAAGGTACAGGAAAGCTCATAGTCCGAGCTTAAAACGAAACACAAATGGAAAAGTGTCACATTCGGCGATAAAAAATATACTACGATGCCTACACACCTAGCCTATTATGAGCTCGCCATCTAAATCGGCTGAAGATAGCCCGTGCTACCATCTTCCAACGGTTGCACCCAATAGCCAAAACCTCCCGAAAGTCCACATGAGTTAGTAGCGACCACATACGGATCCGAGTTGTAACTTTGTAGATGACCTGCAAAAAATTAGTGAAATTTGTTCCATTAAAAATCAAATCGTTCGTAGTATTCCAGATAGCCCAAAATAAAGCACATATCCCTATCCGAATATGTTTAGCTATGTGACTGTCCACTCCACTGAGCCACGTCCCAAATAACGTGTTTATGCTCGTAGGAGGGTGTATGTTAAAAGCACTATGTATTGATCGCCATAATAATTTTGCAAGAGGACACTCAAGAAAGAAGTGTTTAATCGATTCATTTTTATCACAAAAGCAACATCTAGTATTACCAACCCAGTTCCTTTTTGCCAGATTATCTTTGGTGAGAATAACTCCTTTGTGAACGAACCATATAAAGATTTTAATCCGAAGTGGAACTTTAATCTTCCAAAAGTGCAATGACCTCGACAATGGCCCGGTGTCAATTAAGTCCAGATACATAGATTTCACTGAGAAGACTCCTGTCGCAGTGAACTTCCAGCGAATTGTATCAGCCTGATCTGATAGTTGAACGTCCATCAACCTCCGGACCAGTTGCAACCAAGCATCCCAACGTTCTCCTACTAGGGATCTCCTAAAATGGATATTAAGCGGTATCGAGTTTAATACCATGGCAACATAATCCTCCTTACGTTGCATAATATTATATAAAAAATGGTATTGCACAGTCAGAGGCGTATCCCCTAGCCATGTATCCTCCTAGAAAAAATCTAGTACTGTTTCCATTGCCAACTAGAAACTTCACCCGTTGGAAGAAAGCTACATTTGTCTTCATTAACCCCTTTCAAAAGGGTGAGTCCGTTGGTCTAGCGATTACTTGGGCCAAAGTCTTAGAGTGAAGGTACTTATTCTGCAATATTTGTACCCACAAACCCTCGGTCTCAACAGATAGCCTGTATAGACATTTTCTAAGCAATCATTTATTCTTCGGTTCTAGAATTTTGATCCTAACCCACCATGTTCCTTTGGTCTGCAAATAATATCCCATCTAGCCAATCAGTATTTCTTCTTGGCTTCATCATGAAAATATCTATGGAACCTCATAAAAAGCATCAGGATTTAAAGCTAGTCTGCATAAAATAAATTCTATATATCCTTTCACTCAACAGAGTCGTCCCATGAGCAGCTAATTTGGAATTTGGGTTTTGGTCCTCTACGAAGTGAGTCTTTCGGCTTGCTACTTTCATGTTACAAGTGAATATTTTGAAATAAAAATGAGAACTGAAATATTTCATATAAAAAGATTGTTCTATCTAGGCCATCTAATGTGTTTTTTCAAGAGCCACTCTTTGTGGTTGTATCGCCTTGATATGATTGAATCACTGAAAACTCTGCCAATCACCTTTTTTTTTCTTACTAGCGAGTTTGAGCGGGCACAAAACAAAAGAATATAATCATATGTAAAGGCGTAGGCTCTTTGATGTCTTGTGATCCGGTTGTATATAAATCTCAAAGAAATATCTAATCACCGTTGGACCGGTCTTACAATTATTTTTAAATTAGGTTAGAAAAGTCTCAAAATCCACCCCCTAAGGTAAGAAAAGCTCGACATGAAAACAAAGTGAAGCACATTTATTTCTCAGGCGCCCCCTCAATTAATACACGATTCAAATTATTTCTCTATCCGCATACAAAATGAGTTTTGGCTTCCTATGTACTCCCTCCATTAGTTTTTATAAGACGTTTCAGGCAACTTGCTTTGTGCAGTGTCTGAATGTCTAAAACGTCTTATATAAGCGGACAGAGATAGTACTATATTAAAGAAATTGATCCTTAATGCACAAACTAAATATCGGAGAGAAAATATCCTGACAAAAATATCTATGCGTTGGAACTTCATAACAAGAAGGGCCTAAAGAATATTGGACAGACATTATTGCTCACAAGCTAAAAGCCAGAATCCATCCACCATGTGCAAGAATTTGGATTCCAATGAGCAAAAGGCAAATCACTTTTTATTGCTGGCCTGAGGTTGACCGGGCAAGCTAGTAGCAAAAGTCTCCCCCTCCAAAACTAAAAATGGGCCGCCCGAGAGCGACCCCGTCGAGTGATAGATTCTGGCCGTTCGATCGGGCCGCGCACGGATCTCGAGGAAATATCCCCCGTCCACATCGGCCTGGGGAGCGCCCCGGAAAGCGCGCGGGAATTACGATCGTGCCACGGAGAAAGGACGGAAAAGCGTATCGAAAATATCGCGGTGAGCGGTCCACGTGGCCATCCCGATCTGCGCTTTATTCCCTTTTCCGGCCATTAAATTATCCCCGCCCCCTCCCACCTCATCTCACCCCGCCCCACAAAAATATCTTCTTTCTTCCCCTGCCTAGCTAGGCCGCCGGAGTTAGCCCGGCAGGTAACAACTAGATGATACGCAGATGGCGAGGGTAAGCCTTCTGCTCATCGGGTGATTCGTCGGATTGGGGCTGAGAGCTTCGGTTGGGTTGGGTTGAATTTTCTGGGTTCTTGATCGGGTTGGGGATCCAATCCAATCCATGGGGGAGGAGGCCGGCGGCTACGGTTTTGACTTCGGGGGAGGGGGCGGCGGCTATGGAGGGTACGACGGGAGGGTCACGGAGTGGGAGACGGGCCTGCCGGGGTGCGACGAGCTGACCCCGCTCTCGCAGCCGCTGGTGCCGCCGGGGCTCGCCGCGGCGTTCCGCATCCCGCCGGAGCCGGGGCGGACTCTTCTCGACGTGCACCGCGCGTCCTCCGCCACCGTGTCCCGCCTCCGCTCCACCTCCTCGTCCCCCTCCTCCGGCAACGGCCACGCCGGCACCCACGCCAACGGCGGCTCCTTCCCCTCCTTCCCCGGCAAGGGGGCGGCGGCGGGGGACGACAGCGGCAACCGGGACAGCAACTCTGCCGAGTCGGCCGGGGAGAAGGCGGCGGCGACGAAGCGGGCGCGGCTGGTGTGGACGCCGCAGCTGCACAAGCGGTTCGTGGAGGTGGTGGCGCACCTGGGGATCAAGAGCGCGGTGCCCAAGACCATCATGCAGCTGATGAACGTGGAAGGCCTCACCCGCGAGAACGTCGCCAGCCACCTCCAGAAGTACCGCCTCTACGTCAAGCGGATGCAGGGCCTCTCCAACGAGGGGCCTTCCGCCTCCGACCACATCTTCGCCTCCACGCCCGTGCCGCCCAGCCTGCGCGAGCCCCAGGTGCCGCACGCCGCCGCCATGGCCCCCGCCATGTACCACCACCACCCGGCCCCCATGGGCGGCGTCGCCGCCGGCCACGGCGGGTACTACCAGCAGCAGCACAGCGGCCACGCCGTCTACAACGGGTACGGCGGCCACGGCCACGGCGGCGGCGTCTCCACCTACCCGCACTACCACCACGGCGACCAGTAAGGATAACCATCCATCCCGGATTCAGTCATCAACAGATGCTCTGCTCTCTCTGCTTGTGTGTGTGTTTGGTCCTGCTCATCAGTCAGTCAACAGATGTTGTAATTGTAACCTGTAATCAGTCGGTCAGTCAGTGCATGATCCATCGTCAGTCTAGCGTAGGTGTGTGTCCATCAGTCAAAGAGTTTACAGCTGCGGCTGGACATAATTGTTATGAAGAAGAAGAAGAAGATTAATTAACAAGGGGAGCTGAAGTGAAGTTCCCGGGGTAAGAAGAAGATTAGCAATACGAAGAAGAGAGTTACAGAGTGTGTGCTCTGTTTGTGTATGTATGTAATACTGCTGCTGTAACTTCGAATCTTGAACTGCTGCCCCCATTTTGGGCAGTGGCAAGATGATCATAATATGAAGCCCAACAAGGGAATTATGATTCTGATCTTGTGCTCCTGATTGTGTCCTGCCCGGCGGTTTTTGGATCTGAATTCAGATTTGGGACTCACTGTCCTAACTTAAGCATGTACTCTGCTGCTGGAACTGCACATTTTAGGCATGACAGGGCAAGATCCCAATAACAAGAAATAGGGATTGTGATGTTGTGATGAAGAATGTGATGACCATTTTGGGATCTTCTGAAACCAAGACAGGGAACGAACTCGGAACCGTCCGACCGTGATCTTTGTCATAATTCAATCACGTGAACCGGTTGCGGCTGTAAGCACATCCTGCCCAACCAACCATTTGGGGTCTGATGTTCAGGCAAGGAATCAGACTTGGAAGTGGCCGTGATCTACTGTCCTAATCTAAGCACATCTTGTAAGTCACCACCGTCCAAACCCTCCCAGACGAGAAGAAGGAGAACATTCCAGCTCTAGCTTGCTGCTCTCTGAAGCGACGCCGGAACAAGCTGCTTTTGTCCTGACCAAATCTTCCTTCCCAAGATGGTTGCAGCTACAGCAGCACACATTCAGTAGCACAAGATGAGAGTCCAAATGTGTTTCAGGAAGCTGAAATTTCGTGATCCGTTCAATGATATAGATTCCGGCATCGCGGTCTGGCTCCACTAGTATACTGGCTGGTCTGGCTCTGGCGTCGTGGATAAAGATTGGGACGAAATCGAGAAAGATATGGCCATATGGGCCTGCAAGTTGGGGTGTCTGACAGAGACCGGGACCTGTGATGCTCGTCTGTAGCTGTAGCTGACGAGAGGAGGAGAAAAGTGCACGTATGTATGATGTATCTATGTATGCGTGTCTCCAGCCCGTGGGTTATCCATCACCTGTGTGCTGTCTGAACAACACTTCTTCTTCTTCTTCTTCTTCTTCTTCTTCTTCTTGTGAAAATCGATGAAACTAGTCTTTATCTGAAACTTCAACACAAAATGATCCCAATCTGAAAATATTTCACAAACTGGCTCCTTTTCGCATGACGCCCCGGGCTGGGGCGCCATGCTAGATAGCGTCAGCTAGGGCCAGCCCCGGACGTCATGCAAAAGGGCCAGTTTCGAAAATATTTTCATATTGAGGCCATTTTGTGTTGAAGTTTTGAAAAAGGTCCGGTTTCGTCCATTTTTACCTTCTTCTTCTTGATTACACCAGTCCCAAGCCTTCTGGCTTATTCGGATTTTCAGCAGCGTTACTCTGAGATTGGAAGCTATGATATTTCCAACACACTGGGTTCTTCTGTTTCTTTATGGAGCCCGAACCATTTTTCATTTTTGAAAACATAAGTGTCGGAAAAAAAATCATTGTAAAAAAAGTATCAGAAAAACAATGAACTAGATACAACACAACGGCTACAGGGCGCATCACCTGTCACACAAAAAGGCACAACAAAACAGAGGGAGAACTGAAAACCAGCCCTGTCATGCAGCCAACTCTTTGTTCTTGTCACCACCGGATCACACCCAAAAGGAGCATGATGAACGAGTGTTGTTGGATCAGTCGCAAGGAAACCCGACGTCTGGAAGAAGTACACCAAAAGTCACTAACTTGCCATGTGATCACCATGCAGCTTGAGGAACTAGAAGGGTCGCAGTTGCTATCGAAGTGGAACTCAACGCCTAGGCCTGCCGCGACAAAGAGGGTTGCGGATCGTACCAAGGGCAATATTCCACCGAGAGAACCCATGCACCTCTTCTTGGCCACCATCACTAAAGGAGTGAACCAGTGCACGTCCTCAAACACCATTGAAGGACACCGAGACCTCACCGCCGCAGACACGAACATTCCTGAGAGGAAGTCAACCAACGGGACAACGAGGACCAAACAATTTAGTTGGCCCGCCACCACTAGACAACCTTAGAAATGTGATTTTGTACCGAATGTCGTCACTCTTATGACCATCTTGGGATCAGACAAGGAACAATTTCGGAACCGTTCAATTGCAATATGTATCCCATTTTAAGCAAATAAACTGGCTGGTGTAAGCACATCCTGCCCAACCAACCATTCTGGGATAATTCAGACAGGGAACGAACTGGGAGTGGGAGGTGACTGTGATCTATGTCCTAATCTAAGCACATGCATGTTCCCACCTCAGCAGGTTGTTGCGCCCATCCTTTCCCCGACAAGAAGAAGAAGAAGAAGAAGAAGAAGAACTGAAGAAGATCCTTCCACTTCCAGCTGCGCGCTGAAGCGACACCGCAGCTGCTGTAGTTTTCTACTCCTGAATATGTGTTGCTGCTGTAAATTTTGGGATCTGATGTTCAGACATGGGACTGACTGTGATCTCTGTCCTAACTTGGGCAAATATTTCCATAGAGGAAGAGATCCTTCCAGCTCTGTCTTGCTTCCTGCTGAAGCAATGACGACGACACAACATCCATTTCCCTGACCAAATTTCAGTTAGTTACCGCAGACCAGTCATCCAGGCATTCAGCGATATGTACACGTAGCGAACGTGTATTAGATCAATACTTGTGCTACTATCAAGTCTGGATTCGTGGGTAAAGATTGCGGACAATATCGAGTGTGAGTGTGTGACACGACCACATGGGTCTGCATGCAAGTGTGGCGAGACAGAGACCCTGACTTGTACTACTCCGTATGTAGTACTAGTAGTACTCATGGAGACCGTTCATGCCCGCCTGAACTCTGAACTACACCTTATTCGAAATAGATACAGCATACTACTACCTCTGTTTGTTTTTATAAGACGTTTTAGACTTTCAGACACTGTTCAAAAACAGCACAAAGCAAGTTGTCTGAACGTCTTATAAAAACAAACGGAGGGAGTATTAAATTATGGTAGTATTTGGTTAAGTCTCCAGGAAAGAGTTGTTGAATCAGTCGTTTGGAGGATGTAGAGATGAAGTCCCGAGCTTGCCCATGCAATCACTCGGCGGCTTCAACAACTTGGAGAGTTGCAGTCGCTGTCCACCCACGGATCACCGCCAGGGGGCCTAAAGGAATGAACCAGAGCACTGTGCAAAGGCGACGAAATCTCAAATGCCGTCCAAGGATAAACACCATGCCCTCACCATCGCTGCAACGAACATTTTCAGTTCTCACTTGGTGGCTGACTTGCTGGAGTTGAAGGTGTGGCCGACGCCGCTACTTGAAGATGGGATGAAGAGAAGCCGCTACCGCTCACGAACCCCCATTGCCGCCGCCCTCAGTCATGAGCTGGTGACAAACTTGCGATGCCTGATGGGCTGCTATGCCCGCAAAAACGATACAACGCTATTTTGTATAGCGCCGAAGTAGCGCTATAGCGCGAATAGCGTCGTAGTGAGAAAATTAGGTAAAACGTAGTGTGACCCTTTCTGGTATGCTCTAGCGACACTAACGCCCCAATAGCGAGTGCGGATTTTTGGAGGCCGAGCTCCAGTGAGCTCGGTATTTTGAAAAAATCAAAAAGCATATTTAAAAGTTCCAAAAAGATCTGAAAAAAATATCATGAAAACTTATATGTATTCTGCAAGAAGTGTTAAATTTCGTCGAAAAATGTTGTGATTTGTAGGCTATACAAAAATAACAAATTTCTGGCCCAATAACAAAAATAAAAGGCCCATTAAAAAATGTGTATTTGTCTTTTTCCTGTAGGCCACATGTAAACGTATAATACTGTGAAATTTTACATATACATAGTATACATGTGCATGTGTTCACAAAATAAATTTGGAATTTTTCATGCTCCAAAAAAATAAAAAATAAAAACGAGCTCACTGGAGCTCGGCCTCCGATGGCATTTTCCGTCCAATAGCACACTATTTGTTTCGTTGACTAACATCATCACTCTTATGACCATCTTTGGATCAGATAAGGAACGATCTCAGAACCGTTTGACTCTGATATTTCTCGCATTTTCAGCAAATAAACCGTCTGGTTGTGAGCATATGCTGCCAACCAACCATTTTGGAATAATTCAGACAGGGAAGTGACTAGTTGTGAGCACATGCTGCCAACCAACCAACATACATATTTCCACCTCACCAGGTTGTTGCACCCATCCTTTTCCGGACAAGAGAGTCAATTGCAAGAAACCACCACATTTGCGGATAGATTTGTGGAAAACCACCAAGTCGCTAATCCGTTGCAAAAAACGCCGCAAAATTACTTGAGTCGTTGCGAAAAAACACTGATCGGGTGATTTGGCTTGTTTAATCACTTTCTTACAGGTGGGGCCAGATTGTAAGGAACTGACTTAGCAAAAAAATAACACAAACACCCCTAGATCTAAAAAAAGAAAAGCAATCAGACCCTCCCCTCCCCCCGCGTGTGGACAAGTTGTGTGTTGGCGGCGGCGCGGTCACGGCTGGCCTCTGCCGCCTGCATGTCCAACAGGTCGCCTCCCATCGTCCTGTTGTCGAAGGAGGCGCGGTGCTCGTCGATGACTTGCTGCGCCGCCGATGAGTCGCCGCCCTTCTGGGAAGCCGCACTGCCCGCCGCTTGGCGCCGCCGATGTCCAGCACGCCGAGCACTAGCGGCTTCGGTGAAGAGGCTTTGGAGGCGGACCTCTTCCACGCGGACGGCCGCAGAGCGGAGGATGATGCCCGCAGAGAG